GCAATGTACTCTGATATTTTCTAATCTGTTCCATTTCATTCCATTAAAAAATTGCTGGTTGCAAGTCATTAAATTGATTTCAGGATTCACTAATAAGTACTTTGAAAACAAGTCATATAGACACTCTCTAAGCTTCTCTCCAGTTTACGAAATTCCACAGCACAGGGGGCCTCCTGGAGTGGGGATGAGGGCTGGAAACCCCAGGAAAGAGAGAGTTGACCCACTGGCCTTACAAACAGTCATTTTCTTTTTAATTGGATCATGTTCTTACTACCTTCAGCAGAAAGTTCTCATTATCAAACTAGTTGGCAAATATCACTTTAGAGCACAAATTCTCATAGTCTGTTCCATGGCATGTTTAGTGATAAATTAATTGGTGTGCCTGAAAAAGGTTTTGGTAGTCACAGAAGTAGGACAGGAGAGTCCCCGATTCTATGCTCCTCTTAGAGTTTTGATGTATACTAAGAGCTACAAGAATTCCCACAGGAAAGAATTTTGCTTATCTTTATAACCTAGTGTTTTTCCAATCTTATTGACCCCAGAACTATTTTTTCAAGGGAGAGTTATTAACATCACAAAGAACATTAATGTTCTGAGGAACTTGGCTTGGGAAATGGCCCTTCAGGGAATTCTAGAACTTGTAAAAAATTAATAACAAATATAAGTTCTTTCTACTGTTACAGAAAGATTTCTACTTTCTCATATAGAATTATACTTCTTGATGAGAAAAGTAAAATTTAGAAGAGAAGCCCAGAAAATTGAGAAAATATCCAGAAAAAAATCTTGAATTCTTTAAAAAAACTTAAATTCTTGAAAATAACAAAAGTGGACTATTTGCAGACCACTAGGCTAGAGAATCCCAGGGATGGGGTCGCACAGAGTTGGACACGACTGAAGTGACTTAGCAGGAGGCTAGTGAGTACTATAGTACGGATACATTATATTTCAAAATCACACTACTAGAATTTCTCTTTCTTGGTTTACGTTGCAGAAGTCAATCAGAAGTAGTAGAATATTAAAGCTCAAATTAAAGGCAAGCTAGTGTCTATCAATGGATAAAGGTGATATTTTACAATGTTTCCTCTTCTCATTTTCTATCAGATCTAAGATAAAAGAAACAGCCTCTTTAACAAGTAGACACTGGGCCACCAAGAAGAAATAGTGAATACTTAAGTAAAAGGCTGCCTCTTTCTACTGATAAAAGAAGAAAACAAAGACAGCTGGTAATGTAATTTTCAAAAGTGTGTGTGTGTGTGTTTGTGTCTGACAGAGACAAAGAGAGAGACACAGAGAGAGGAGGAGACAGAGAAGTGACTGTGTTGGGGGGGGAGGGTGCGGTTAATGGTTCGTCCTTATTTCTCCTTTCTTTTTACTTCAAAGCTTCAGAAATCACTCTATTATTATTCCTGGTACCCTGGAAGCAAATTATTAGACACCTATCAATTCAAACTCATTTAATATGAGCTTAGTTGTATTTTTCAAATATATTTTTACTTTTGGGGAAGGGGACCTTCTTTTTCCTTTATAGAACATAAAAATAACAGCAAATAAGTGACTTCAGACAGGCCCTGACTCACATACGGTTTTGATGGTGCACCCAATTTCTAGTGCCACTTTCTACAGATCAGTTTGGCAACACATAACAAAACCCTTACAAATGTAAATGTGCTTTAACACAGCATGTTCCATTTTGGGGGCATTTATCTTATGGAAAGAATCTGAGGTATTTATAAAGGTGTAGGAAGAATATTAGATATGATATACAATCTTTGATAAAGTACTGAAAATTATGAAATAACCTTAAGTGATTGAGTGATTTAGAATTGTGGTAAATGTGGGACAGCCACAGAAGGGAATACTATGCCATCACTTAAAAAATGCACTCTGCAGAGGAATATTTAAATATACAAAAAATATTTTTATTATAGTTCTAAGGGGAAAAAGCAGGTCATAAAGCTGTAAAATATTTTTATCCCTGTTCGGTTTAAAAAAAGGGCGAGAGAGAAAATCTGAGTTCAAACACACACACACACGCCCCTGAGAGATAGACAGAATGTATATAAACCACATTTTTTATAGTGGTTATCTCTAAGTGGTTGGATTACAGATCATTTTTCTTTCCTGTTTGTACTCTCTGCTTTCCAAAATCTCCTTGAGGGGCCTATACTACCTCTGTAATGTAAAAAAGAGACAACACAAGGAAATAATCTTTTATCTTTAGTCTCAAGATATCCTATTTCTCAAATATCCCTTCAGCTAAATTGGTATTTTGTGATGTCCATAAGCAAAGCTTCTAAGCATATATTGATACTCCACATGAACACTTAAGAAACTGGTGATGTCTGGGGCTGGCTCCATATGAGCAGGTCAATCAGGGGATTTCTGAGTGTGCGTGTATACAGGTCTGACCTTTCTGGATGTGGGCACCGTGTGATACGAGATGCTCCTTGGACCCTCAAAGTTCTCCCCTTACAGCTCAGAGATTATGGCTGACGCTTCACCCCCAGAGAGTCATTCCTCAGGCTTATGGCTTTTCACCCTATTAAAATGCAAATAACCCAGGAAAAGTACACATTAAACTTTACCTGTCACCTGGGTTAAATGAGTATAACATATCATTTTCTGAGATTAGGCTTTAACAGGGGAAGACATTGGAATTCGAGTGGGGCAGGCAGAGAGAATAAAGAGTGAAGGAATATATATATATATATATATATATATATATATATACACACACACACACATACATATATATGACATCTGAGGAACAATTAATATGCATAATAGTAATATTTTTATTTATGGTTTATGAATAACTTACATGTTATTGCATTTAATCTCAATTAAATCGAATAGAATGGCTCTGCCACCAAGGCAATTTAAGCAGACCAGAAATTGGGGAAAACATAGAAGATAAAATCTGCAGGATTTAAAATTGTTCTGGAGCCATTCTCAAAAGCCACTGTCCCACTCAATTATGTATACTGCTTTAATTTGCCCTTCTTTTTTTGACACTTTCTACGTATTTGTGATACTGTTCAAATAATGACTGCATGTTGATAAAAAGGTCAGACTCAGTCAAGAAAATAAGACAACTTCTTGTTTCATATACTATCAATGTATAATGAAAAGAGAGGACCACTACTTTCCAAGAATTTTTGTTCTAAAATAAAATGGTCAATTGGAGACATACATGAAAGCATCAAGTCAAATACTTTAAAATGTTTGTGAGCATGAATCTTTTTATTAACCTATGGAAACTGGAGAAGAAAGGAAAGGACTAGAAAGTGGCAATAAAAGAAGAAGGCAGAAGCATGAAAGGAGAACATATAGAATTGCTTCTTCTTCATTAAAATCTATCAATTTACTAAAAGACAGTCTATTGTGGTGGTTAAAAACAAACTCTGAAGCTGACTTCTTGGGTTCGAATCCCGGCTCTGTCATCTACACGCTCTGTGACTGTGTCTCAATTTCCTCATCTTAAAAATGGGTATAATAATAATAGTATCTACCTTACAAGTTGCTATAAGGGTTAGGTTGGGTCATATTCATAATGTTGGCAGGCATAAAGTAATTGCCTTAAATGATGGTTCAACTCCACCAAACAAAAATAAACTCAACATGGATTAAAGATCTAAATGTAAGATTGGATACTCTGAAACTCTTAGAGGTAAACATAGGCAGAACACTCTTTCACATAAATTTTTCAATCCATGTCCTAGAATAATGGAAACAAAAACAAATAGGACCTAATTAAACTCAAAAGCTTAATCACCTCACACCAGTCAGAATGGCCATTATTAAAGTCTATAAACAATAAATCTTGGAGAGGGTGTGGAGAAAAGAGGACCCTCTTACATTGTTGGTGGGAATGACAACTGGTACAATAACTATGGAGAACAGTATGGAGGTTCCTTAAAAAACTTACAACAGACCTATCATATAATCTAGTAATCCCACTGCTAGGCATATATTTGGAAAAATACATAATTCAGTAAGATACATGTGCCCCAATGTTCACTGTAGCACTATTTACAGTAGTCAAGACATGGAAGCAACCTAAATGACCATTGACAGAGGAATGGATAAAGAAGATGTGGCATATATATACAACGGAATGCTACTCAGCCAAAAAAAAGAATGAAATGATGACATTTGCAGCAACATGGAGATTATCATACTAAGTGAAGTAAGTCAGACAGAGGAAAATAAATATCATATGATATCATTTATATGTGGAATATAAAAATATGATACAAATGAGCTTATTTACAAAACACAAATAGACTCACAGACTTAGAGAATGGATTTATGACTACCAGAGGAGAGGAGTTGGGGAGAAGGATAGATAGGAAGTTTAAGATTGATATACACATTGTTATATTTATAGTATGTTCCAATATTACACTTTCAGTTAACCAAGGTTATTCCTCTTGGTTATTAATTATAACAATATATTTAGTTATGAAATACAATATTTATTAATAATATATGAATACTATAATTAATTATAACATATAATTAATAAAATAGTAAAACAAATATAAAAAGAATGAAGAGAGGTCAAGGAAAAAAGACAGATAAGAATAGTTAGGGAAGATAACAGAATGGGCTGAAGTTTGAACTTACAGGCAGGTAGTATTTAATCAATTATATGAAGAATCATAGATTCACAGTAATATATATTGAATTGTCATATAATTATATGATATTATAAGTATCAGCTTTATGAAGTGAACTGCTCTGAGTAAAGATTCAAAAATATTACTTAATTGAGCACTTGAGAATACACTGTAGGAAATAATTGTGCATTAGTGGAAGGCTGGACAAAATGATCTAACTGGTCCTCCTCATCTTAACCTTCTGGATCCACCCACTAAGTCATATTTCAGGATGATTGGTGCCTCTAGTGCATCTGGCAGAGACTATCATAATTCAACTGTAAATAGCCACCAAGATGCAGTGAGGAGGGTAAGAGCTGAAAGTGGTCAATGACTTACTGGAAAGGAAGTGCTGGGATGCTGGGCCAAAGTCCCTGTGGGCTTCGTGCAGCTGCCTGATGCGGTCCTCAACAGCCACCTGGGAGGAAGAGGAGAGAAATGATGTCCTCTCATCAGATACAATGAGGCACAATTAAAACAATGCACCCTTTTTGGTAAGATCTTTCGAGCTTCTAAGGCTGGAACACTAAAGCAATGATTTATAACCCTGTTTTAATATCCGCTTACCTTACGCGCTTTCCGAGACTGATTTTTATCAAACAGCCCAAGCGAGAAAGATTTGCTCTCTTGACAATGTTAAAATGAGACTTTTAAAAAAACACTCTACTCATTGGTAGCCATGAATGAACTACTGTTCCAGTTAGTACCATCAAAATTGCAAGCTCTTAAATGTTTCACAAAAAGATTTGTTAGGGAGGGCACCATCCGCCATTAAACTAGGTGACTGAAGGAACTCAGAAATGATAAATATTTTGTCTCAGCCTCTTGTCATCACCATTTTTAAAGAATCATACTGACTGATAATTAATGGATACTGAATGATATTTAATCACTGATAATAAGTAACTAAGAGTTGATTGATACTTTATCTAAGAAATAAGAGGCAAGGTTTTAGGGTTGATGGTGAGAATAAAAAAATTTTAGATTTTACTGAACTTGGAAATTACTGGGAACTATACCTTTAACTGGCATGGATTAAAAATTGCCACTGTTTTTTTCCTATTATGTTTTTCTATACTATATTGACACAGTATTCTGTCAGCTTAGTGAATTTCATTTTGAGTGGATAAGAAAGGGAAAGAATTTTATGGGGGAAATGGTATATTTTGTCCATTGGCATTTTGCCAACTTTATATTAATGGTGGCCCCAGGCATCCTAGCTTTATAATTTCAGATCCTGATTTGGTTCTGACCAGGCTATGCTAAACCAGAGGTTAGTCAGCACTTGCCAGAGCCATCAGAGCTCAGGCAGGTTCATGCCTGTAAAACACATCTCAAGTTCAACAGAAAAGTGACTCAGGTAGTCTGGTCTAAAGTTGACTCTGACCTTCCCATGTCAATCAAGTACCTAGCCCAAATCCAGCACAGTCTTCTTGTTGCACGTTCTCCTTACCCTTGTCCATCTTTGCTGGGACCAAATATTTCAAAAACCACGTAGAGTTCATAAAAATGAAGAGTTTGCTTCATTGTGATGCACACAAACACACAAGGCACATATGAAACCTACTTTCTCAGCCTTATGACCCTGCTGTTGCTGCTGCTCAGTCAGTAAATTGGTCCTTTGGACTGACTGTAGCCCCCCAGGCTCCTCTGCCTATGGGATTTTTCAGGCGCCGATACTAGATTTAAAGGGATTAGATCTGATAGACAGAGTGCCTGATGAACTATACGGAAGTTCATGACACTGTACAGGAGACAGGGATCAAGACCATCCCCAAGAAAAAGAAATGCAAAAAAGCAAAATGACTGTCTGAGGAGGCCTTGCAAATAGCTGTGAAAAGAAGGGAAGTGAAAAGCAAAGGAGAAAAGGAAAGATATACCCATTTGAATGCAGAGTTCCAAAGAATAGCAAGGAGAGATAAGAAAGCCTTCCTCAGCAACCAATGCAAAGAAATAGAGGAAAACAATAGAATGGGAAAGACTAGAGATCTCTTCAAGAAAATTAGAGATACCAAGGGAACATTTCATGCAAAGATGGGCTCGATAAAGGACAGAAATGGTAGGGACCTAACAGAAGCAGAAGATATTAAGAAGAGGTGGCAAGAATACACAGAAGAACTGTACAAAAAGGTTCTTCATGACACAGATAATCATGATGGTGTGATCACTCACCAAGAGCCAGATATCCTGGAATGTGAAGTCAGGTGGGCCTCAGGAAGCATCACTATGAACAAAGCTAGTGGAGGTGATGGAATTCCAGTTGGGCTATTTCAAAACCTGAAAGATGATGCTGTGAAAGTGCTGCACTCAATATGCCAGCAAATTTGGAAAACTCTGCAGTGGCCACAGGACTGGAAAAGCTCAGTTTTCATTCCAATCCCAAAGAAAGGCAATGCCAAAGAATGCTCAAACTACCGCATAATTGCACCCATCTCACATGCTAGTAAAAGTAATGCTTAAAATTCTCCAAGCCAGTCTTCAGCAATACGTGAACCGTGAACTTCCAGATGTTCAAGCTTGTTTTAGAAAAGGCAGAGGAACCAGAGATCAAATTGCCAACATCCGCTGGATCATCAAAAAAGCAAGAGAGTTCCAGGAAAACATCTATTTCTGCTTTATTGACTATGCCAAAGCCTTCAACTGTGTGGATCACAATAAACTGGAAAATTCTGAAAGAGATGGGAATACCAGACTACCTGACCTGCCTCTTGAGAAACCTGTATGCAGGTCAGGAAGCAACAGTTAGAACTTACTTGACATGGACCAACAGACTGGTTCCAGATAGGAAAAGGAGTATGTCAAGGGTGTATATTGTCACCCTGCTTATTTAACTTCTATGCAGAGTACATCATGAGAAACGCTGGACTGGATGAAGCACAAGCTGGAATCAAGATTGCCGGGAGAAATATCAATAACTTCAGATATGCAGATGACACCACCCTTATGGTAGAAAGTGAAGAACTAAAGAGCCTCTTGATGAAAGTGAAAGAGGAGAGTGAGAAAGTTGGCTTAAAGCTCAACATTCAGAAAACTAAGATCATGGCATCCGGTCCCATCACTTCATGTCAAATTGATGGGGAAACAGTAGAAACAGTGGCTGGCTTTATTTTTCTGGGCTCCAAAATCACTGCAGATGGTGATTGCAGCCATGAAATTAAAAGACGCTTACTCCTTGGAAGGAAAGTTATGACCAACCTAGATAGCATATTAAAAAGCAGAGACATTACTTTGCCAACAAAGGTCCATCTAGTCAAGGCTATGGTTTTTCCAGTGGTCATGTATGGATGGGAGAGTTGGACTATAAAGAAAGCTGAGTACAGAAGAATTGATGTTTTTGAACTGTGGTGTTGGAGAAGACTCTTGAGAGTCCCTTGGACTGCAAGGAGATCCAACCAGTCCATCCTAAAGGAGATCAGTCCTGGGTGTTCATTGGAAGGACTGATGCTGAAGCTGAAACTCCAATACTTTGGCCACCTGATGCGAAGAGCTGACTCATTTGAAAAGACCCTGATGCTGGGAAAGGTTGAAGGCAGGAGGAGAAGGGAATGACAGAGGATGAGATGGTTGGATGGTATCACCAACTCAATGGACATGGGTTTGGGTGGACTCCGGAAGCTGGTGATGGACAGGGAGGCCTGGTGTGCTGCTGTTCATGGGGTCACAAAGAGTCAGATATGACTGAGCGACTGAACTGAATACTGGAGTGCATTGTCATTTCCTTCTCCAGGGGATCTTCCTGACCCAGGGATTAAACCATGTGTCCTGCATCTCCTGCATTGAAGGTGGATTCTTTTTATTTTTTTCTAGAGTAAATTTTTCATTTAAATCTCTTTACAAATTGAATTCAATATTTTTTTAATTTTATTTTTTAAAGTTAATTTATTTATTTTAATTGGAGGCTAACTGCTTTACAATATTGTGGTGGTTTTTGCCATACATTGACATGAATTAGCCATGGGTGTACATGTGTCCCCAATCCCGAACCCCCCTCCCCCCTCCCTCCCTATCCCATCCCTCTGGGTTGTCCCAGTGCATGGGCTTTGAGTGCCCTGTTTCATGCATCAAACTTGGACTGGTGATCTGTTTCACATATGGTAATATACATGTTTCGATGCTATTCTCTCAAATCATCCCACCCTCACCTTCTCCCACAGAGTCCAAAAGTCTGTTCTTTGTATCTGTGTCTCTTTTACTGTCTTGCATATAGGGTCATCGTTACCATCTTTCTAAATTCCATATATATGTGTTAAAATACTGTATTGGTGTTTTTCTTTCTGATTTACTTCACTCTGTATAATAGGCTCCAGTTTCATCCACCTCATTAGAACTGACTCAAATGTGTTCTTTTTAATAGCTGAGTAATATTCCATTGTGTATATGTACCACAGCTTTCTTATCCATTCATCTGCCGATGGACATCTAGGTTGCTTCCATGTCCTAGCTATTGTAAACAGTGCTGCAATGAACATTGGAGTACACATGTCTCTTTCAATTCTGGTTGGATTCTTTACCCACTGAGCCATCGGGGGAAGTGGCTCAGATGGTGAATGCAATGCAGGAGATGCAGGTTTGATCCTTGACTCGGGGGTCGAAAAGAGTTGGCCAGGACTGAGCAAGTAACACTTTCACTTTCTTATGACCCTGCACTCCCAGTCAAACTCTACCTGCCTGTCCTGTGGCATTCCATCTGACTTAACACCCCTGAGGCCTCCCTGTAGAATGCTTGTATTCCCCTTTCCTTCCATTCAGGGCTGGTCTATGCTGGCTTCCTCAGCATTCTCGCAGTCCACGGTTTATACCTGGAGCACTTCTATCAGAGCCACTCCTTACATTATATGGATGGATGGTAACCATTCCCTGCTTACTTCTTCTGTCCTCCCCTCCCTCCCACAGGACGCACTGAGTCCTGCATGTAGTAAGTGGTAAGAAATATTTGTGTAATGACTAGTCAATCAAACCAGTGGGTAAGTGTGTGTGTGTGTGTGTGTGTGTGTGTGTGTGTGTGTGTGTATGCATGTAGCAGTGTGAGAAAGAGAGAAGGAGAGAGGGAGGGAGATACGGGAGAATAAATGAGAATGTTCACTGACACTGACTGCAAGCTCTAAGTCCCTGGGTAAATTATTTGAATCTTAACTTACCTTATCATTATAATGGGACAATATGTCCTACCTCATGGAGTTATTATGGGGATTAAATAAGACGATACATGTGTTTAGATCAGTTTCTATCATATGATAATTGCTCAGTAAATGCTAGTAGCTACTGTTATTGTTGCTATTATGCTTAATAAATAGGTTACAGTGTGCAAGGCACCACACAAAATCCAAAAATGGATAGTATTATTAATCACTTTGTGCATGACAATATGAAGTAACATGCAATCTTCCCAATAACTCTATGGAAGGAAGTAATATTATT